TTCCCCAGCATCACCTCTAAGTGTCGCCGAAGGATCAACAGCTGTAGAAACGTGCGTACGCCAGTCATGAAGTTGGCGTGAGGCACCTCACATTTCCACGGTCATTTCACTCTTGATACATCTGAACTTTACCGTGGAAAAGGACGTACGGAACGTTTTTGTGCGTAAACACTCTTTGTACATGAGGCCCCAGGTCAGAAACCTCGGTGTCATTTTGGACTCAGACCTAAGTTTTTAATGCATACATCAAGTTAATAACCAAAACAGCCTATTTTCATCTACAAAACATAACTAGAATTAAGGGCTACATGTCCAAGCATGATCCATGCTTTTATATCCAGCAGCTTAGATTATTGTAATGGCCTGTTCTCTGGACTTTCCAAACAGGCACTCAGACAACTCCAACTCATTCAAAATTCTGCTGTCAGAGTCCTGACAAACATCAGAAAGTTTGCTCATATCTCCCCCATTCTTAAATCACTACACTGGCTGCCTGTTTCATATAGAATAGATTTTAAGATCCTGCTCCTAGTTTACAAGACTCTTAATGGCATGGGACCAAAATACATCTCAGACATGCTAATACCATACAAGCCCACTAGATCTCTACAGTCATCAGAGAGTGTCCTTTAAACTGCCCCCAGAGTCAAAAGTAGACGCAGCGAAGCAGCCTTTAGCTTTTATGCTTTTAAGCTTCCTTATGATCTCAGACATGCTCCCTCCACTATGTGTTTTAAATCCAGACTGAAAACATTTCTCTTTTCACGCGCCTTTGATTAGATGTCACACTGTACCCCACCCTTTTAACCATCCTGGAGCTATTTTATTAATTCTATCTTTCATGAATGTGTGCGTGTGTATGTATGTGTATATAGATGTATGTGTATACACATGCATGTATGTTTGTACGTGTGCGTATGCATACATTTGTTGTTTATACTGTTTTACACCTCTTGTTATCTTATTGTATCTTGTACCACTGTTTCAAATGGTGTAGCGCTCTAACCTGCACTTTTGCACTTTGAACTGCATTTCGCCTGACTGAAACTGTGTATCCGTAAAGCACTTTGAGTTACATTTACTTGTGTGAGAAGGTGCTATATAAAAAAACGTGATTCTGCAATAATCCAAAATCCAATGGAAAAATCCAATAGGCTTTTTGTTGAGGGACCCAGTGTGACGCTAACTTCCACGTCGACTTACAGAAAAACGTCATCCCTGAAGCACTCTATTAAAGATTAGCCTAGCTTTTTGAGGATCCTCCCCTCTTTAGGCCCGTTTTCATCTAACGCTTTGGGTATAGCACCTTTGGAACCAAAAGTAACCCCTCAGACGTGGTACCTAGGTCCATTTAGCATTTCCACCACAAACAGTACTCTTAAATGTAAGCGGGGTTGTTGTCACTCACTGCTTCATCCAGCACTCGTAATATCTCCTCTTCACTGGTGACACTCATCCATAGAACAAGGCTGAATGCTGACATTTTTATTACAAAACAGAACAGGCTGGAGTGAGAGTCTCTCTCCATGGGTTAATTAAAAATGGTGGGTTGGTGCATTTAGACCTTCTCAAGCAAGCACAGTGGTTTAGTGTTGCTGGAGGCCACAGGAATGACACTCCACAATGCTTTTTTTTTTTTCATGCGAGGATTAAAATATTTGCAGTTCACATAATGCGGTTGAAATATTTATTTTTAAACACTTGACGATTCACTCATTACTAAAAGTGTATGTCATCCATGAGTGACAGTTAAAACTAATGGAATGGTCAAAGTTGTCATATTGAAATTTAAGGTGTGCTGATGGATTCATGTCTTCAACTCATGCACTGAGTAACATTACAAGTAAATGTTCTACCTTAAAAGTTGCCGGCAGTTGGCCCGGTGAATGAAATTATTTTTCTCTTAGTCTACAGCTGCTGCAAGAGGCGGTATTTGTTATGGTTTGCTAATGTATGTAAGACTTGCCAGGGTATGATCAATGGTTACATAAGCCTCAAAACCAGCCACAGCTCAGCCCTGAGCAAGAGTGACCATCCTCTATTGACCAATCAATGAACTGCAGTGTTCATAGCTCCACCTTTTATAATCTGATCTGTGTGCTAGGTACCCCAACAGAAGGGTGACCAAAAATGGGGACGGTTAGGAACGATTCTATTGTTACCATCCACAACTTTTCACAGTGGAAATGGAAAAAAAACAGTGTATCACACTGAACTGTACCATACTACTTGGTGGAAACAGGGCTTTTGTCTATAGAAGAGGTCCTAATTCATGCAGTAAGGTGGTGTGGGCCAACATTAACACAGGTCCGAAACAGCTCCTCCACAAGATGGAACTATCCCTGTAGTAATTGTGCCCAGAGTGACAACACATGGAAAACATATGTTTTTTTGGACAACATAGGGCCTGCTAAGGATTTTATCACACAATACCAATATGATAAGATGTATTTAGGTAAAACTACATGTATGCTGAAACAAAGGATTAGAAAGCACCAAAGTTCAATCAGACGCAGCGATGTGAACTATCCTGTTGCCTTTCATTTCACTGAATGTTCACACCCTGTCCCCTCTTTACCTTTTGGTTGTGCACAGGTGTGATGCATACTGCTAATGAGAACGGGACGGGTGGTTTTCCTGCATTAACACCTCTCCAATACAACAAAGGTGAATGGAATTTAAATTCTGAAATAACTAACTTTGAAGGGCCTATCTTCCAGGGTTTCTGCGGGTCATTAAAAAGCATTAAAAGTCATTAAACAGATTTTGCGAAAATTAAGGCCTTAAATGGCATTAAAAAGCTTTAAATTCGATGTCCAGAGTCATTAAAAAATTAAATACACTTGATGGAAAAAAAACATTGTTATTCACGATTTATTTTGATTATATAAACATGTAATAATTTTGATCGGAAGTATAATGTGATGATTGACAGGCGGAACCCTTTAATTGGCTATTGTTTACGGTCGGTGCATGAAGTCACAACACCTGATGCTTGGAATGCAACGTGCTGTGAGGGTGCTCATGCTGTGGCGAAAGAGCGGAGGGAATATTAGCGAAATGGCGGAAAAATGCAATTGTGGAAAGCTGACATAACCCATGGCCCGATGGCCCGGGCCAATAAAATAGTATGTCGGGCAAGCTGATTGACAGGTCACAGGCCCGCTCGGGCCAGTGACGCTGTAAGGCTTTTTTTGTCAGGGGAACAACTCCAGCGGATTTTTATCCCACTTTTCTGGAGCCTTCAGTGGATTTATTGGGCTTTTTGGCCAAAGGTGCCCTCACCTTTGCTCGTGCAGTGAAATGCCGGAGGAGGGGGAAACGTGCCGGTGCGCTTGTGCGTCTTTGCCAACGCGGAAAACCGCACACCGCTGCCATGCAGGTATATTTCTCTCCAACGTGCGTTCGCTGGCTAGTAAACTGGATGAACTTCAGCTACTGATGGTGAAAAACGGAGACTTTCTACATCTGCAGTTTTGTGCTTCACGGAGACGTGGCTGTGTGGATCGATACCGGACTCTGCGCTGCAGCTGGCAGGCTTCCAACTCGTGAGCGGATCGTAACACGGAACTCTCCGACAAAACTAAAAGTGGAGGTATCTGTTTTTACACTAACAGCAGCTGGTGTAATGACATGACAGTGATCCAGCAGCACTGTTCTCCTGATCTGGAATCTTTTTTCATCAACTGCAAACCTTTTTACTCCCCCCTTTAGTTTGTTTCATTCATTCTGGTCGGTGTTTACATCCCACCGCAGGCCAACGTCCAGGAGGTAGGCTACAGCGCATGCTCGCCGACCAGATAGCTACTGTGTGTGGAGCGGACTTTACCCAGACTCCTTAGTTATTGTCATTGGCGACTTTAACAAAGGTAACCTCACACATGAACTCCCCAAATAAAAACAGTTTATAAAATGTCCTGAGAGAAGAATATTCTAGATCACTGTTAGACAACTGTTAACAAAGCCTATCACCCCATCCCCTGCGCTGCACTGGGCCACTCTGACCACAACACTGTCCACCTGATTCCCTCATACAGGCAGAAGTTAAAGCTCTGTAAACCTGTTGTGAGGTCATCTAAGAAGTGGACAGAGGCTGTGCTGTATATAGACCATCACGCGCTACGGTGAGGTATAATGGAGTTAAATGAAATGAAGTTTTATAGACATTTTTTCTCTCTCTCTTTTTTTTTTTTCTTGGGCCAGTAAGAATATACAAGGGGCCAGTAAAACTCTCAACTACTGGCCCGGGGGGCCAGTGGGGAAAAAATGTTATGTTGAACACTATGCAAGTTTCAGCAGAAGTGGTTGGATGAGGAACTATTCAGAACCTGGTTAAAGCCTGTCAACGATAAACCACGAGTGGCATTTTGCAGCGTGTGCAAAAAGATCTTCAAACACAATGCCCGTCAATGCGGTGAAATCACACATACTGTCAGATAGTCACAAGTCGGTGATTAAAGGCAGGCAGCAGTTAACTGTGCTGAATTTCTTTGCCGTGACCAGCAACGCAACTTTTGCTTTCACCACCACAACTGCAGCTGCTGCTGCTACCACCACCACACCTGCCGCTACAGTGACCGCCTCCGGCCTTTTCAGGTTAGGTTTTTCACATCATTCTTCAGGCTGGTTTTGTTCTTTTTGAAATGTGCAAATAAACCGTCTTGTGGGCCATCTGCAGTTTGACATGGGCATTAAATTTGTTTGAAGTGGCATTAAAAAGGGGCATTAAAAAGCATTAAATTAGATTTGCTGATACCTACAGAAACCCTGATCTTCTGACGTGCTGACATCATTTCCATTGTTTCTGTGAGAACATCTCTGTGGTGCTCTAGCGCACTCTACCAGCCTGCTTTCTGCTTTTCCTCACTTCAGTTGCTTAACATCTAATTCAAGTTTTAACCCACACTAGTTCTGTTTAAGCATTCATAGCTCTAATCCTTTTTACGACTTTCTTGCTAATCTCTTAGCTGTTGTTTGCACATTATTAGCCTTGTTAGCTACATTAGCTTAACAGTTAGCGATGGCTTCTCCTGCTCTTTCTTGCTCGGTGTGCCAGATGTTTAGTTATGCCTCTGTCTCCTTTAGCGACAATGGTAATTGTAACAACTGTAGTTTATTTGTTACATTGGAGGCGAGGCTTAGTGAATTAGAAGCACGGCTCCGCACCATGGAAAATCACTCGGTAGCTGCGGTAGTTAGCCAGTCCCCAGTAGCTGGTGCAGAGCCACATAGCATAGCCTCTGCTAGCGTTCCCCCGGCCTCCCGGCTGGGTAGCAGTAACCCGACAGTTACCCAGCCTCCCAGCTGCACAGGAGGCCGGGTAACTGTCCGGGAGAAGCGTAGCTCCAAGCCGAAGCCCACAGTTCACCACCAGCCTGTTCATATTTCTAAACGCTTTTCCCCACTCAGCGACACACCCGCTGAGGAGAAAACTCTGATCACTGGCAGCTCTATTCTGAGAAACGTGAAGTTAGCAACACCAGCGGGCATAGTCAAATGTATCCCTGGGGCCAGAGCGGGCGACATTGAATCAAATTTAAAACTGCTGGCTAAGGCTAAACATAGATTTAATAAGATTGTTATTCACGTCAGCGGCAATGACACCCGGTTATGCCAATTGGAAGTCACTAAAATTAATGTTGCCTCGGTGTGTATATATGCAGAAACTATGTCGGACTCCGTAGTTTTCTCTGGACCCCTCCAAAATCTGACCACTAATGACATGTTTAGCCGCATGTCATCATTTAATCGCTGGCTGTCCAGGTGGTGTCCAGCAAACGATGTGGGTTTCGTTAATCATTGGCAAACTTTCTGGGGAAAACCTGGTCTTATTAGGAGAGACGGCATTCATCCCACTTTGGATGGAGCTGCTTTCATATCTAGAAACCTGGCAAAGTTTATTAGTAATTCAAAACCCTGACAACCCAGAGTTGAGACCAGGACTCAGAGTCGCAGTCCTACACGCTTCTCTGAGCTTCTAGTGCAGTTACCCATCCATAGTTTTATACAAACGGTGTCTGTCCCCCGACCACCTAAATTATCTAAACCTAAATTTAAACAAAGAGAAGTTGTGCATAACAACCTCATAAAAATTAAAACCTCTTCTGTGACAGAAAGACAAAACAGGAGAATTAAATGCAGACTGTTAAATATCAGGTCTCTATCATCTAAAGCAGTGTTGAATCCACTCCTCCCAGTCATAATAATACCCACATTCCTTGAGGCAGCGGCTCGCTGCCTCTACAAACTACTGTAGATTATAATTCATTTGAATGTCTTGTACTTAGTCTTTTGCACCGACCTGGAAAACCTCGCAGCCACTTTTATTTGTTATAGTGTACCGTGCTCCTGGCCCATATTCTGAATTTGTATCTGAATTCTCAGAGTTTTTATCCAGTTTAGTTCTTAAATCAAATAAAGTCATTATTGTAGGCGATTTTAACATTCCTGTTAAGGTTGATAATGACTCCCTGGCTACCGCATTTACCTCATTATTAGATTCCATTGGCTTCAGTCAGGGCGTACATAAAGCCATTCACTGTTTTAACTATACCCTCGATCTAGTTCTGACGTATGGAATTGAAATTGATAACCTAACAGTCTTTCTACAGAATCCCTCGCTATCGGATCATTATTTGAAAACTTTTGATTTCTTTTTACTCAATTACATGCCACTCAGCACCAGTTACTATACTAGATGTTAATGATCAGATAGTGCTGTTGCAAAATTTAAGGAAATGATTCCTCTGTCGTTGAATTTAATACCATGTCCTTCAGTAACAGAGGTCTCCCGTACCGACTTTAAACTCTCCCAAATAGCACCGCAGGCTCGCTGCGCACAAGCTCCTATATCTGTACATGAGATGTGGCTACTGTGTTCTATGTGTGATGAATGTTTGGTCACCGTTTGATTTATTGTTATTTATTTATATATTTCTGAAATGCCTTGTGTGACCTGCTGCAACCCAATTTCCCTACGGGGACAAATAAAGACTAATACTACTACAAAACACTTGACTCCGTAGCACCTCTTAAAAAGAAGTTAGCAAAGCAAAGAAAGTTCGCTCCTTGGTATAACTCTCAAACCCGTAAGTTAAAAGAAATATCGCGAAAATTTGAAAGGAATTGGCGATTAACCAAACTGGAAGAATCTCGTTTAGTCTGAGCAGACAGTCTCAAAACGTATAAGAGGGGCCTCTGCAATGCCAGTGCAAACTATTACTCAGCTTTAATAGAAGAAAATAAGAACAACCCCAGGTTTCTTTTCAGCACTGTAGCCAAGCTGACTGAGAGTCACAACTCTATTGAGCCTTGTATTCCTTTAGCCCTTAGATTTTATGAGCTTTTTTAATGACAGAATTCTATTAGAGGGAAAATTCATGACCTCCTGTCCTCAGACAGTACCTATCTGCCCTCAAACACAGCTGTAAGACCTAATATATATTTAGATTGCTTCTCCCCGATTTCTCCTCAACAATTCACCGCAGTGATTTCTTCATCTAAATCATCAACATGTCTCTTGGACCCCATCCCAACTAGGCTACTTAAGGAAGTCTTACCTTTAGTTAAAACTCACTTATTAGACATGATCAATATATCTTTATTAACAGGCTATGTACCACAGTCTTTTAAGGTAGCTATAATTAAACCTATTCTAAAAAAGCCCACCCTGGATCCAGAGGTGTTAGCCAACTATAGACCAATATCTAATCTTCCCTTTATGTCAAAGATCCTTGAGAAAGTAGTCGCAGACCAGCTGTGTGATTTTCTCCAGGATAATAATTTATTTGAGGAATTTCAGTCAGGATTTAGAGTGCATCATAGCACTGAGACAGCTCTAGTTAAAATTACAAATGACCTTCTGATTGCTTCAGACAAAGGACTCGTCTCTGTTCTTGTTTTATTAGATCTTAGTGCGGCGTTTGACACAATTGACCATCAAATTCTACTGCAGAGACTGGATCACTTAATTGGCCTAAAAGGTTCAGCACTAAGCTGGTTTAAATCTTATTTATCTGATCGTTTTCAATTTGTTGACGTTCGTAATGAATCATCCTTACGTACCAAAGTTTGTTTTGGAGTTCCGCAAGGTTCTGTGCTCGGACCAATCCTATTTACTCTATATATGCTTCCTTTAGGTAACATCATTAGAAATCACTCTATAAATTTCCATTGTTATGCGGATGATACACAGTTGTATTTATCGATGAAGCCAGAAGAAAGTAATCAATTAACTAAACTCCATAACTGCCTTAAAGACATAAAAACTTGGATGAGCACCAATTTCCTGATGTTAAATTCAGACAAAACTGAAGTTATTGTTCTTGGCCCCAAACAACTCAGAGACTCTTTATCTGATGACATAGTTTCTCTAGATGGCATTGCTCTGGCCTCTAGCACTACCGTAAGAAACCTCGGAGTAATATTTGATCAAGATTTGTCTTTTAATTCTCATTTAAAGCAAACCTCACGGACTGCATTTTTTCATCTGCGTAATATTGCGAAAATTAGGCCTATCCTGACCCGAAAAGATGCAGAAAAATTGGTCCACGCTTTTGTTACCTCAAGGCTGGATTACTGTAACTCTCTATTATCAGGTAGCTCTAGTAAGTCCTTAAAAACTCTCCAGCTAATTCAGAATGCAGCAGCACGTGTACTAACAGGAACTAAGAAACGAGATCATATTTCTCCTGTTTTAGCTTCTCTGCACTGGCTCCCTGTAAAATCCAGAATTGAATTTAAAATCCTACTGTTAACTTATAAAGCTCTAAATGGTCAAGCTCCGTCATATCTTAGAGAGCTCATAGTGCCATATTATCCCACCAGAACACTGCGCTCTGAGAACGCAGGGTTACTCGTGGTCCCTAAAGTCTCCAAAAGTAGATCAGGAGCCAGAGCCTTCAGCTATCAGGCTCCTCTCCTGTGGAATCATCTTCCTGTTACGGTCCGGGAGGCAGACACCGTCTCCACATTTAAGACTAGACTTAAGACTTTCCTCTTTGATAAAGCTTATAGTTAGGGCTGGCTCAGGCTTGCCTTGTACCAGCCCCTAGTTAGGCTAACTTAGGCCTAGTCTGCCGGGGGACCTCCTATAATACACCAGGCACCTTCTCTCCTTCTCTCTCTCTCTCTCTCTCTCTCTCTCTCTCTCTCTCTCTCATGTCCTGTTACTGCATGTTGCTAACTTGGCCATACTGCATGTCACTAACTGGGCTTCTTCTCCGGAGCCTTTGTGCTCCACTTTCTCGCAGGTTAACTTATATCGCAGCGGTGCCTGGATAGTGTGACGTGTGTGGTTGTGCAGCCGCAGTGGTCCTACCAGAGCCCAGCAAGCAATAGTCATGATTTAAACGTATTGGCTATATTCAGCTCCGATTTAGTCTAGCTACATGTAACCCAAATCTAGCCGATTTAATTTTGAAATTGATTAAATGTAATTTTCGCCATTGCAGATGGTGTGCAGTATGATATTCAATCACGTATGGAGAGTCAACAGTAATTAAAATATGTTTATCTCCATTTTTTGGACATGGTCTCTACATAGCCGTATAATTGATGATGTCTACACTTTGGCTATGGTTAGACGTCTACCAAATTTTCACTGACAGCCCAAATTCAGCCGTGATTTAGCCTAGACGTCAGGTCTTCATGTAGACGGCTATTAGACGTTTTTTAAACCAAAAAATGCTGGCTGGGATGCCTCCTGCTGCTGCTGCTGTTATCACTAGTCATACTTCTACTGTTATTATTCACATATGATTATTGCCACATATGTATACTATCAGATATTAATATATACTTTCAACATATTGTACCAAAATAGCCTGTAATATTAATTATATTATTACTTTCATTATTGCTGTTGTAAGCTACTGTCATTACCGTCTGTCCTGCATCTCTCTCTGTCTCTGTCTCTGTCTCTCTGTCTGTCGCATTGTGTCATATGAATTACTGTTAATTTATTATGCTGATCTGTTCTGTATGACATCTATTGCACGTCTGTCCGTCCTGGAAGAGGGATCCCTCCTCAGTTGCTCTTCCTGAGGTTTCTACCATTTTTTTCCCCCGTTAAAGGGGTTTTTTTTGGAGAGTTTTTCCTTATCCGCTGTGAGGGTCCTAAGGACAGAGGGATGTCATATGCTGTAAAGCCCTGTGAGGCAAATTGTGATTTGTGATATTGGGCTTTATAAATAAAATTGATTGATTGTAGGGATGCACTGTATATTCGGTAACCAAATATATTCAGCCGAATATTGCAAAAAAACACACATTTGGTATTTGGTGGAATAAGTGAAAAACAAGGCCGAATAATAGCGGAATGTTTTGATAACGCTATCAAACAGCGTGCGGTAAAATGTCGGCAGTGTAGTGATATTTTACTCTGTCCGTCACCGCAATCGCATTTGCGACTAAAAATAGTTTTGTGCGAGCAAATTAAATCATTCAGCACGCTGTGCGAGTACAGATTTCAACCAGCAGCAGAAACGAAAGGTGAATCCCGCCGCTTGTGGGTTGAACGGGGGTCACAGACACATACAGGAATGTATTCCTGTCAAATACGGCAGCCATAGTGCTCCACGGTGCAAGATAAGGCTTACCGTCGACGGAGGAGTCCCGCTCCAATAATGTCTTCTTCTTGGCGTCATGACTGCCCAAAAGTACCTGGACAGCCGAGCCATGGCAGCACACAGGTATGTGACGTGTCAGAGGAGAAATGAGCCGTTCACATTTCTCTCTTTGTGGCGGGTAACGGTCCACAAACCTCACCGCACTTTAGGGACTGTTCTTTACTTATGAAGGGACTGTTCTTTACTTGTCAGGGGAGGAGGGTGGCTGGTTGTTTTTTATTTTATTTATTTATTTTATTTTGATCCCCCCTATGTTAATCACTTATTGATGCTGTTTTTGAAGTATGAATTAGTCAGTAAGTAATTTATTCCATTGAAATATCATTGATGTATTATAGAAAAGTGATTTATCTTTTTATAAATGACAAAAGGCACATCTGCCTCATTTTCGCTGTGGTATCGTGATACTACTCAGAACCATGATTTTTTCATTGGTATCGTACTGTGGGTCCCAATTTTGGTACTGTGACAACACTAATCTGGAGGGGGTTCATCTGCAAAAACTAATGAAAAACTAAACAACGGTATTCGGTACTCGGTACTCGGTATTCGGTATTCGGCCAAGCATTTAATTTTATTCGGCTTCTGCCACAAATTTTCATTTCGGTGCATCCCTAATTGATTGATTGATTGATTGAAAACCTGCACAGAACTTCTTTTAGAAAAGCAACTTGTGTCATGGTCCTATCAGAGAGACTATATATATATATATATATATTCATTATCAGGCGGTCTGTGGAATACTTTACTCTTTATGAAAAATAGAAAATTGGCCTCCTCTTTGAAGAGCATCAATGAGTTAGAGAGGAGTTGGTTGGTATGGCCTGTTATTAATGAAATATTTACAGTCAGGATGCCACATTGTCTTTTTGTTTGGAATTGTGAAAGTACTATTATTCCAAGTAACGCTACTTTAGTACTTTAACTTCTTACTTTTACATAGGTATTTTAACACTTTTCCCCACTTCTGCTTTTAATAAAGACAGAGTTGAACTAACAGTGAACATATTGTACTCTGAAATCCACTTGGGACATAGAACTAATTCTGGTATGGTCTTATCACTTACAGTAATGCCTATGGTGGCTCATATGACAATTCCACATATTGTGCATTGCATTAAATCAAATACATGATGGTTGTTTTTTGACACTTGTGAATTTTATTTTTTTTTTTCCTGCAAATATCTAACTGTAATAGCAACAGAATGTCTTTAAAGTTAAAGCCCAAGAATGAGTAGCTCAGTCATCTGGTTAGTTTTGCAACACTGTATTTAAAATTGCGTGATCACTACTAAACAACACAAAGTCCATAGTGTGGAACCCTACCTGCAGAGAGGAGAGGAGGACCTCTAAGCCACTGCAGGAGCTCAGGGAAGCTGTCATACTTGGTCGACCTCGTTCTGTTGGGCAGGCAGATAAACAGACAGGAAGGTAAACAAACTGTTAGATGGACAAATAAACAGGCAGACAGATGAACCAATAAACGGGCAGACTGAAAGGTAAACAAACTGTTAGGCAGACTGAGAAACAGACAGTCAGACCAATACACAAATGGACAAAGATAGGACAGGAGAACTCATACAGATGGAGATCATCAATCAGGGAGAGGCAGAGAGAAAATCCAAAGTGCGTCCTCACCAGTGTGTATATACACTCACACACACATTAAACTAAAAGCATCTGTCGCTCTCGTTTTCTTCTGCACATCGAGACAGACGTGCACAGACAGCAATGCTGCTGTGTCTGAGGACAGACAAGCCACACTGGCTTAATTTGGCTGGGAATACCCACCAGGGAGGGAGGGAGTGTGTGTGTGTGTGTGTGTGTGTGTCATTGTTGCATGCATGTAAGCTGAGTATGTGTTTGTATGTGTCCTCTGGAGAGAGTGTCTTTTTTACATCTTACTTCAGAAATTATAGTACAACTAAAGTGGAAAACTCACATTGGTTATGTGCTTTCTGTTGTAAAATACATGCCAAGAATATTTGTGCAGGTTTACATGGGGTTTGTTCCTGTTGTAGAACACTATTACACACATGAACATAAATAAAAGTGGTTAAATGTGTGCCACAAAAGTGCGTGCACTTGACAGTGCATGTGTAATCCTATCCCTCCAGGATAAAGAGCTCCAGAAAACATTTGTGCTGTAGTGCTCAGAAGGCTGCCACTATAAAAAGGCCTGGACAAGGCCAGCTGGGCAGCTGCAGGGCACCAAATACACTCAGTGGTAGACTTCAGCCTAAGGGTTTTTATGGCTGATATAAAATAAACCTCAAAAGTAACTCATTTTTATGGCCTGAATCAATGGTCCTCATTTATTAATCTAACTTACAAACCAGCACAGATCTGACACAGAAATCAACTTACGATCAGATTGGTGTGTGATTCATGAAACATTCTTATCTTGCCAATCACTGCATAGAAATTATGTTATTATTAGGTGTTGATAATTTACATTTACATATCCTGCCCCAATATATTCTTTATTTAGAGGCCTCACCCCAAGCCTTTAAATGGACTGCACTTGTATCACATTTTACTAGTCTTCCGACCACTCAAAGTGCTTTTAGGGTGCTTTCACACCTGTAGTTAGGTTCATTTGGTCACACCATAGGGAAAAAAATATCCATTGTTGCATTTTAGTTTTGGTTTGGTTCCTGTTCACTCTGACTTTTTATAAACCAACAGGAGTAAACACGAGGTTCTACCGACTGCCAGGTAACTAGTTGATTGGACAGTTTTGGTTTTTATCACCCTGCATCTTCAGTGCATCATCAGGACCCATGTGAGGAAATCAGATTCTGGTGACTGCCAGAAATTTCTGCAAATTTCTACATTTATTAATGGACTTAATGAACAGACAAAGTACACAGAGTCAGATACAATGATGGCAGTTTTCACAGCTTTATAATCAGGGAAAACACCCTTACTGACATATGTGTTACCATGGTTGCCTGTATGTGTAACCAATTTAGTAATTTTCAAGTGGATTACAGTGTAATAATAAAGTAACTTGTAGGCCGACAAAAAGGGCTAGTATCAGAAAAAAAAAACGGATTCGATAGGAGCCAATAATGTTGAGCAACAATAATGAGACAGATGCAAAATTGGAGGTTGAGTAATAACTCTTGTATTGTTACAATGTATAGAAAAATTTACCCATTTATACAAAAAACGTAAATGCAATTCCCAAAATAATAATAATTAATAATTAATTGTCGGGGCCCTCAGAAAGCAGAAACTGGTTGCAGGTGCACCTGATCCTCAAGGTTCATGGATGGGGAATGTGCGTGTGAGTATGTGTGTGTGTGAGAGAGAGAGAGGATACGAGTATTTCTCCTTCCTTCCTTCAAGGTTCTGGCTCGCCATCTGATGGAATCATCTCATTCTGATCCTTGTATCTCCACAACAAAACCTGACCATTGCTCTCTGTTTTAAGGCAGCACTGTCATAGGTTTGCCGCTGCACACAGATGGAGGGAGGAGGTTAGCCTACGAAGTAACGATGCTACCGTTAGCATGAATGATTACTTTTAATGGGTGGTTTTGCCGGTAACTATCCTGTCTTACCGGTGAAATCCGGTTTCCAATGACGAACTCCACGGCTCCACACTTGTTCCAGGTAAGTAGCTCACTGTAGTAGTCCTTTATCACAGTTTTTATTCACGGATTTTTCTCTTCTCTTTTCGTCCTGTGCCATGTAGTCGCCTTCTCTCCCGAGGCTGAGGGAGAGAGAAAACGCGCCTGTATTTCCCCTCTGGGCTGACAGGCTGAATGTGGCCTGCATAGCTCCTGATTGGTTAACGGGCTAGGTACCCCCCATGTGGGGTCAGGTGAACTGAGTAGTGTATTTAAGTAGTATTAACTAGTATTTAAGTTAATACTGTGTCTTTTATTCACATCTTGGGTTTTACGAACTGGGATTTACACCTGGGTATGCATTAACATAAACAAATTATGGGATATACATGACAATTTTAGGATCAATTATGAGATCGCAGACAGATTTCACAATCACTCAGTGCACTCTCAATGTTGCACATTCTTCAGCTGCACATTCTTCAGTTCTTCAACTTTAAACTTCATGCAGCATATTTAAGCAGCAAGAACTGCATTCAGGTCTGACCCTTTCCCATAATGAAGGATACATGGAAATCACTTTAGTTTTGGTCATATCAAAGGAAAATGAATTTTATTCACTTCAATTTTCAATTCAATTCAATTTTATTTATAAAGCCCAATATCACAAATCACAATTTGCCTCACAGGGCTTTACAACATACAACATCCCTCTGTCCTTAGGAACCTCACAGCGGATAAGGAAAAATTCCCCCCCCCAAAAAAACCTTTAACGGGGGAAAAAAAATTGATTGACTAGTATTTGTGATAAATACCAGACTAGTACATTTTCTAATTGGTGAAATGTCTGCTGAGTATGCAGGACATACAAGAACTGGGATGTTTGCAGCTTCCGGAAATTTGTGTACAAATCCTTGCAACATGAGGCCATACATTATCATGCTCCAACAGCAGCTGAAGAATGGCATTACAGTAGGTCTCAGGATCTCCTCCTGGTATCTCTGTGCATTCAAATTACCATAACCCACTACTACCACGGGGCACCACTCTGGCATTAGCAAACAGCTCACCCAAACTACATGATACACACTATCTGTCATCTGCCTGGTACAGGGTAAACCAGGATTCATCTGTGAAGACAGCACTTCTCCAAAGTGCCAGCGCCGTCAACAACTGCTCAAGCAGTTGAACTCTAAAGTCAGTTACGACAACTAACTGCTATAAGGTCAAGAACTTGGGTAGGATGACAAGCAGATGAACTTCCCTGAGATGGTATCTGATGGACTGTGCAGAAATTCTTCCATTGTGCAAACCATCTGTTACAAAAACTGTCCAGCTGGCTGGTCTCAGGTGATCCTGCAGGTGAAGATTCTGGAGTGGAGGTCCTGAGCTGGTTTGGTTACATGTGGTCTGCGGCTGTGATGCTGGTTAAGTATTGCTAAATTTATGGAAACAACTTTGGAGACAGCTTATGGTAGTGAAATGAACATTCACTTCACAAACAACAGCTCCGGTTGACATTCCTACAGTCAGCATGTCAGTAATACACTCCCTCAAAACTTGTGACATCTGTTCAGTTCAGTTCAGTTCAGTTCAGACAACTTTATTAGTCCCCAAAGGGGCAATTCAGTTTAAGCAGTCACCGTACAGTACATGACAATGACGACGACGACAACAACAACAAGCAGCAGACAGACAGGAGCACAACATTATTTAAATAATAATGACAGTGATCAAACTGCACGTTTTAGAGTGGCCTTTTACTGTGACCATCCCAAGGCACACCTGTGTAGTAATGATGTTGTTAAATCAGCATCTTGATATGCCACGCCTGTCAGGTGGATGGATTATCTTGGAAAAGGAGAAGTGCCCACTAACATGGATTTTAACTAATTTGCATCAAAAATTTGGCCAAGATATATCTATTAAATGCATTAAAAAAAATCTTTAAGTTAACCCTGCAAAAAATGAGAGCAAAAACAAAAGTGTTGCATATAAATAAATAATAATAAATGCACACAAAAACACAGAGGTTTCATTCTTTCAGGCTTGAACCCCTAATTATAAATTCACTCAAAACAAGAGGTGAATGGCAGATGGCTGATAAATAAATATCAGACTTAAGCATACAAGTCTTTATAGTTTTGTGAAAATGCTGCCCAAGAATCTCCCAGATTGTGGTGCTGTAACTAAGGCCCTCACACTGCAAGGGCTCATTTATACTCCCTTCATGTATGAATATACTGTAGATACATCTGTTTTACACATTATAAACATCACTGCCTTCATACTTATATGTATTATAGCTTTGTATTATATTTACTGAAACTGTCACTACATTCTGACAGAAGTACATGTGACAGTCAGTGAACATAATCATGTCCCTCCTCCTCCTACTGTCTCTAATGGAATTTACTAGAATCAGACCCTGGCTGTCATCAATCAGAGCTGAAGAGTCTCTAACACTGTTAGGTTGAGCTGTAAGCTCTTGGTAGGCATACAAATTACTTCATTCTCATCTGGCTGGCTGGTAGTGGGCGGGGCTTATCAATTAACACAGTGGTCCAGGTGTGATAATGAGCGTCTTCAGAGAGAGTGATGGGAACTGCACTACCGAGAGGCCTGGGGACAGCACCTGGGTTTTTCGCTCTGCGAACCTGACCGCCGACTACCTCCAGTTTTGTGTTTTGTTATTTGTTTTGACCAAGCCTTGTATAAAAATCTGAACAATATCTGTCTGCCACAACATCGCCTGGGCTGGCTGCTCGTGGGGAGCCTCGTCCGAGCTCGCCGCTGTTGCTGTTTAGAGGTGAGCCCCACGCACAACCCTGCACACTCTATGTTAGAGAATGAAGTTGCCTAGACACGACCTGAGTCAAACTATCAGTCATTCTCGTAACAAACACAGCTGCCAATCATGTCAATTACTGCTCATTAACTGTGGTCAAACTGTCAAACTAGGCAGTGCTGATCAAATATGAATTAAGATTCTGTTAGTGCATTGCCTATTTATCACCTAAAATAGTTTTAAAAACATATTTTAGTATACTGTTGTTTTACTTTGTAAAAAAAAAAAAAAAAAAAAGCAGGTTGCATCTGGGGTTGCTAAGCAACCTCAACAAGCACCATATCATAGCCTATTTACCTGAA